GCCCTGATAACCATGATAGCAACGATATCTGAATAAACAATTGATATCAGCAGGCATGGTACAGGTTCAACAAATGATTCTTCACATCACATGTTCAATGGATGAATCAGTCCTTAAGGATGATAATTATCCGTGAATCAAGCTTCTTCCTGATAACAAATCATCAGAGTACTGTTTGCTTCAGGCAAGACAATCTGTTGGTCAGAGTCCCTCATTAGGCTTGTTAGGTAATATTACATCACAAAAATGTTATCAAACTACTAACAGTCTGTACCTCTGTAAATTCTATGAGTGAGTATGGTTTTTATGCCGCTTTGAAGTGAGCAATATTCCAGCAATATCATGGCGGGGGACACCAGAAATGAGGCTTCACACATTGTACCAATGTGGGGAATCGAACCCGTGCCTTCAGGGTGACAAGCAAGAGCTTTAACCACTATGCTACAACCCCGGCCCTGACTGCCCCAGGGTATGGTAACTTCAGTAAGACATACATATAGCAAAACCATATACCAATGTAGCTTCAAAGATCTATATTTAAAAAACATGGACTTACACTAAAGAATTTATTGTTCTATATAACAACTATTTTCTGGCTCGAAAATCTTTTCTTTTACATGTCAATACACTAGTTGCATAGCTGTCAACTCAAAATGTGCCCAAGAAGTGAGAAAACATTAAAAGCTGGGGTCCTGGGGCTGCATGTCCTGGTTGGGTCTAGGGCGATGTCCAAGCAATGGGGCAAAACACACACCCCCTCACCCCCAGCCGATTTTTTTTTTCTTCGTAATTTTGACTGTATCAATAATCAGCTGGCAAGTTAATACATATTACTCTTAAAATTTGTTTAAAATAAAGCATTTATATGCAAAAATGTGAGATTTAGTAAATTGGCCGTAAGAACATGATTTTCATTTAAAGAACGTGAGACAAGGCAAAAACATAAGAGTTGACAGGTTTGTAGTTGGAAAATGAGTTTTCTTCAGTATTGAGGCAGGGATGAAGTCCATACTCTACACGTAGTTCTGAGTTGTACTTGAAATTCTAACAACATAATGATATTGGTTTGTCCACTTTAGATGCTATAGGGTGAGTGAGTTGGTTTTTATGCCACTTCTAGCAATATTTCATGTAATGTACCCATGTGGGGAATCGAACCAGGGTTATTGGCGCGACAAGTGAACGCTTTAACCACTAAACTACACTACTGTCCCTGCCAAAAAGACTTTGTGTAATAAACATTGCGTAATTTGATCCGACATCTACATAGAATAGTTTGTCATTTAAACATAGTGAATTAGACTAAAAATGAAGCTATAATGTATGTATTATCATTTAAGATTATAATGGAATGGAGATCTGTCAGGTTCATCAACAGAGTAGGTCATGACATGGAATGAGTGCAGGACATTACTGTTTCATAAATATTTAAATCATTGGGACACATATATGTAATCTGCCAAGTTCATCATTAATTTACCTCACACAAGTAGCAAGGGAATTGATGAAAAAATAGATTGTTTGTCCACTGGAGCTTAACATACAGTCAGTTGTTAGATTCTGTTGGGCCATAGTGGATATGATAATTTGCTGTTTAAACATATTCAAAAAGATAACTTTATCGTTTTTTACTTTGAACTAATTGCAGTTGTATTCCTTATTTTTCAAATCCAATAAAAACAGAGTTGGTGATAAAATATATATAAATTTTAACTATTTTAGCAATGACATCATCATGTAAATACTACTGTGCGCATATTTCGGTCACAGAGACATTTCAATGTATTATCAGACATTACATAACGAATCAGACTCGATATGAATTATGATTATAAAAGATGCTGATCACTACCATGCTGAAAGTAGTCCTAGAATTAATACAGTCCTGTGCATGTTCAGGGTTAGAATTGATTTTTTATTTTGACGAAAAATGACAGAATTGACATCTATCTTGTTCACACAATGGTGAAAGTGGATACTTACAGGAAGAGAAAGAAGGAAGGAAGAAAGGAAATGTCACATGTCATTATCATCTCTTCTAGAATTTTGCGACATTTCAGTGTTTACGATATTTGGTATCAAAGACCACATATAATTGCTACCGACCCACATGAACAGCTAATAAAATGAGTGAGTGAGTGAGTGAGTGAGTATGGTTTTACATCGCTTTTGAAGTTTTAGCAATATTCCAGCAATATCAGGGCGGGGGACACCAGAAATGGGCTTCACACATTGTACCCATGTGGGGAATCGAACCTGGACCTTTGGCGTGACGAGCAAGAGCTTTAACCACTAGGCTACCCCACCACCCCCCAGCTAATAAGTATGCTGCTGGAAATACTGTTCTTGCAGAAGCAGGCTTATGTTCATGTTGTTAATTCTGAACACTGAGATCATGTTTCATATATCTGAGACGAAGATTCAGGTGCACCACTTTTAATTATCTGACAAATGGGTCTCGCACGTAACTCTAATGGTTCATGTTTAACCCATTCAACACCGCAGGCCGAATAATCGGCCACAACCTTATGAGTCCCCAGACACCGGAGGCCGATTAATCGGCCAGGCAGTAGTCACGTCAAAATGAGACATAATGTTAGGAACCTACCTGACTTTTGATTCATATATCAAATCTATCACATTTCACAATGTCTGAAAACACTTATTAAATTTCAGTTTATCATATATTATCAGCAGAATTCAAATTATAAACTATTTCTCGCAATGTTATTGAAAACAACGATTCTCGGACACATGCTTCGGCAGCGGGTCCACAATAACATTGTCAAAGAGCAAAGTAACGATGTTTCGAGGAAATTATTAAATAAATTGAATAAACTAATGAATAAAATCAACAACAGCATTCATAAAAGTTGTTAAACGTACATATAAAATTACTATTTCCATCTTTTTGTGCGATCATGTAATGCAAGTCAAGTCACTAACAAGTGACATCTCGGCTCTCGCCGACTCAATCTTCACACTCGGACACGATGTTTAATGCGAAAATACATACATGAAGCATTTTTGTCATAGGTCATAACCTAGCACGATACGTCCAATAGGTTCCATAATTTACGTATAGGTAGCTATTTCTTGCTTAATATGTTCACAATAGCATTATTTCACCCAAAACTTGTGTCCAAATCTAAAAGTTTTCGTTTACGAGGACAGTATCCATTGCCGTAATATGATTGGCTGCCTTAGGTCACGTGTCTGATTTTGACCAATCACGACCCTTATAGCAGACTGTGGCGAAAAAGCGTCATTAGAAACCAATCTTTATCCAATAAAATCGCTTCTTACAACTGTGAAAATACTCTTGGCAAGGGTACAGTGATATTGTTGATGTTCAGAGCTTTCGAACGATGCCCGACATCAAACGATTTGCCGAGCATGTTATTCATACGAAGCTTCGAAAACGGAGGTATTTTCAGTTGTTATGTCATTTTACCGAGCGGAAAGCCACAGATATCGGGAAATAGGCAACCATACATATTGTTTAAGAAATCTTTTTATAATAATTTTCTGATTACGTAAAAATGAAAATATAAAAGAAAAAGGCACTTGCATTTTATGACATGTCCCATATGGTGTATGGGATGTAGTAGCAATAACGTTTTACAAGCTTATAATTTCCTTCATAAACATAGGCTTCATCTATGACCTCAGAGTCTCTCGGAACTCGGTGTCATGGCAGTAAATGCCTCTGGTTGACTGGTGTTGAAAGAGTTAAAGTGGAAGACATTTATGTTGATTCCGAGTTTGAACCCCTGCAACCTATGATCGTTGTAAGACACAACGAATGGATTGGTTGGACAGGTTCAATGACTTGGTTGACAGCATGTTCTTATAAGCTGATGGCGTAATCACTGTATACATAAACAACAATAACAATTAATTGTTTTTCGGTTTCTGACTTGATTATTGACTGGTTCCCAATATATAGGTGGTTTACCCCAAACTATCAACACAAAATTGAAAAAATTCAGATAAAAATGGTAGACATGTAGTTTCATCATTGATGCTTCACAAATAAAGCATTATCATGTCAGGTTTAAACATGGATATTATATGTCTTTCAGTGGCATTTAGAAGTTGTATATTGATGTCCAAGATATTTTTTATGGATTAAACTTCTTTTTAAATTTCTCTCACAACGTTTCGAGACCATTCCAGGTCCCTTAGATGGGGACATGGATATTATACATAGAAATAATGTCAATAGTTTCATACCTACAGCACATTAAACAGAGAAAAACATGTGACATGGTATGTACTGTCTATATAGATGGGGACATGGATATTATACATAGAAATAATGTCAATAGTTTCATACCTACAGCACATTAAACAGAGAAAAACATGTTTCTCTAAATAAAAGAAATATTCAAGAAATGTTAAAGTGCAAGGAAAGTACCGGCACAAGACATTGATACATGATCACAAACAGCTGTCGTTTCATAGACACCCTACTGTGAGGGAAACAAGGCAATATATTATTTATTGGAGTTTCATAGGTAGAAGATGGAACATAACAGTTTGGGTGAATTATCCCCAATTCACACTTTGTGTGTTCTTTATCGATTCTCCAGCTGAGGCAATTCAATCAATCGCTGAGCGAAGTGCCATTCAGCAGATGTGCCGAACGAAAGTTCTGATCCATATTCTCTCCTGTCAATCGCTGATTCGGAGCAAGGTTTATCCTTATTGACTTTCTAAACGCATAGATTCCACGCCTCCTGATTTTCTCCCGATTGTGTCATGTTCATCCTATGACCTCTTTAGGTACGATGCAGACACACTGCGTATATACCGAGCGAAAAATGAAAGGTCTAGAAAAAGACGCAAAAATGTGTCGTTTAAATGGTGTATCGTTATGCCACACTACAGTAGGCCTAATCATTCACGTAGAGTGGGCGGGCCAACTTTGTGGACCCACACTAAATAAACGTCAAAACAGAAACACGTAGTCATCACACGTATCTCAGTATAATTACCTGAACAGCTCTGTTAATTGTTGTAGACGCAGATCCTGCAAACTTTTTAAATTTTTGGCTCATAGAATTTAAATCCATCCTGGTAGATTGGCTATGTGACTCACAACATGAAACCTGTCGACGTCTCAGTCAAAGCTGCACTTCCGGGATATCCGCACTGAATAACCCATTTTAGTACGCAAATCTAGCTGGTGATGTATTCATATTCACACTAATATTCTTCATTTGATTATGTTAGGGGACCAAATTGCACACGGGGTCATTCCACAAATAGAGGCCCAAACACAGTCCATGGTGTTAAGCACTATGTAAAAATTTAATAATTTATAAAAAAATTGTGTTTTTGCTGAAATGAAAGATGTTTATACATCCTTCAGTATAGTATATACAAAAGGTAATTGAGAAAAAGGTTTAAAATGATATATTTTGAAAATTATTGATTGAAGTATGTATAATTTCTCATGTCCCAAGCACAGCTCAAGCATTTTCACAAGTCCATAAAATCAACATATCAAGTTAAAGAATTTAAAAAGTGATATATGGACATTTCTGTATACCCCGTTTATGCACTGACTGGTTTTTAGGTGCAGAAAAACAAATTTGATTAAAGAATTTACATTTTCACAATTTAAAACTTAATGTCCTGAGAAACCCTGTCACTACCGTCACAGCATCTAAATATAGAAATTCCTGACACAAGGGAGGTCATTCTCACTGGCCTCCTCATCCTCTGGAAAAGCAACATGGCTACCATCATGACAAGACAATCTTAGAAGGTAAGGTTTTTGTCTAAATAGCAACAAATATTAAATGCATTGCACATATATGGCGAGTATTTTTATTCCATGTCATTACCAAACGCTACTTATTGACAAAAGTAACTACTATTTTGCAAAAGTAATAGTATATGTCAGTAAAACCACATCATCATTTGCCATGTGCTCATGAGACACACCAATTTTGAATTTATATTTTACTGTAGCTTCTTTTCAAATATTGAAATGTCACTACCGTCACAGGTCATTACTGTCACATGAAAAAAAGTGATGGTAATGACACGTTGTGACGGTAGTGACATTTCTTTAGAAGGAAGTTTTAAATCCACATTCAATAAACATTTTCATATTATGTGTGATAAAACCAATAATGATAATAACATTGTCTTTACTACAATGATGTGTTGTAAAGTCTATATGGTTCTAGGTCTTATTTGTTTCTTTATTGATCTTCAGATGCGAGAACTGAATCATGAAAAAAGACTTTTATTGGTCCTAGAAAAAGACCTGACTGAAACTACAGAGAGGTTTGACTTTTTCCTACATTTCCATCCAAGAGATAGTGCTGTGCGTGCAGCTTGGGCTAAAAGAATTGTAGATTTGTATGAAAAAAATACAAATTACTAAGGAAAACATTCATCAGATTATGAAAGAACAAAGGAAGGACAGAGAAAATGGCTATGAATGCAGCAGAAAGGGCGAGGAAGTATAGAGAAAGGATAAATGGTGACCCCGCAAAGAGAGCAGCCTATCTAAACAAAGAAAAGTTAAGAAATAAAAAAAAGAAGGAAAATGGCATAATCAAACCAATTTCTGAACATTCATCACGGAGTCAACGTAATCAAAGAAGGAGATGGAGGAAAAATCAACAAAAAGTGAGAGAAAAACAGCGGAAACAGGAGAGACTCACACAGAACCTGTTGACACCGCCTGGGTCTCCCCTGGATGAAGCTGTAGGGAGAGCTGGAGGTGATCAGGATGGAAGAACGACACGAGGTCGTAAGAAGGTGCATAGAATGAGGAGTGCAGCTTACACAGAGAGATTTTGAAACTGAAAGTACAGTTATCAAATACCAGGAGACAAAAGGAAAAATACAGGAAACAGATTTACAGGCTTAAAACAGCAGCAAAACTTAAGGACTCGCCACAGAAGAAAACACAAGAACTCCTTAAAGGCCAGAAAGTTTCAAGTAAGGTCAGAAAGACCTTGCTATTCCATAATGTCGTCATCAAGGCCATACGGACTAAATATCAGAGTACAAGTCCTGAAAAGCAGAAGCAATTGTTTTCACAAATGTTTTCTGAAGCAATTCTCAATAAATACAGGTTCAAATCAAATGCTGCTGCATCTCTTTCATTCTCAAGAAAACGTTTCAAAAACAATAGGACAAAAGGACCAATAAAATACAAACGAAAGAAACGTGCAAACTCTTTTGCTGGAGCCCTGAAAGCCACCATCTTACAGTTCTTTGTGCGGGATGACAACAGCAGGCCAACATCCGGGAAGAAGGACACGATAACCAAGCTCAAAGTGAAACGTCAAAAGAGATACCTGAATGATACTCTCAAAAACCTTCACTCAAAATTCCTGTCAGAAAACCCTGAAGTAAAGGTATCCTATTCACTCTTTGCCAACCTAAGACCATTTTATGTCCTAATACCTGGAGCATCAGACAGGGAAACATGCATTTGTAAAACACATGATAACCTGCAATTGAAGGCAGATAAACTGTGTCAGCTTGGCGTTTTAGGAACATGTGATCTTATGAAGATTGCTGCAGAAATCTGTTGTTCAGTTAAAGATAGGAAATGTATGTTTAGGGAATGCTATGAATGCTGCAGAAAGAAAATCCAGAAACACAGTTTTGATGAGGGAAGTCAGATCTTTTGGTATGAGTGGCAGAGAAGGGTTGAGACAAGAGAGAAGGTAACTGCTGGCAAGCAAGAGACCATAAATGTTCAACTCACAAGAAAAGAAAAAGTAATGGGAACTGTGGCAACCTTAGTGGATGACTTTGAGGAGAGTCTGAAAGTGTCTTGCAGACATCTTTATACTGTATCGCACCAGTACCTTGCCATCCACAAATTGAAAAAGAACCTAAACATGAATGAGTGCATCATTCACTTGGACTTCTCAGAAAATTATGCCTGTAAATATGCCAGTGAAATTCAAAGTGTTCACTTTGGTGCATCTCATCAACAAGCTTCTCTTCACACAGGTCTTGTCTATACCCATGAAAAGTATGACAATCTGCCTTTCTGTACCATTTCGCCATCATTCAGACATGATCCTCCTGCTATATGGGCTCATATGAGGCCAATCTTCATGCATATCAAGGGCAAATACCCAGACATTGACACTGTCCACTTTGTAAGTGATGGGCCTACTACTCAGTATAAACAGAAGAAAAATTTCTCTATGTTTGTGAACAGACTGTATGCATATGGATTTGTAAAATCAACATGGAACTTTCTGGCTGCCGGACACGGCAAAGGACCAGCTGATGGCATAGGTGCTGTTGTGAAAAGGACAGCTGACAGACTGGTAGCTCATGGTAAGGATATTCCAGATGCCAAAACTCTATTTGACAGCATACATGGAGAGACCTCAGTTTGTATGTTCTTCATCTCACCCACAGATATTGAGGAGGAAGACAAATATATTCCTCCAGACATAACAGTCATACCTGGGACAATGAAGATCCATCAATTGTCTACCAATGAGAAGGGAACATTAAGCTACAGAGTCCTCAGCTGTTTCTGTTCCTATCCTGATCAGTGTGTATGCCACAGCCCATTAACAGTGCAGGTGCAGTATCAAGATCCAAACTTTAGTGTTCAAGCTTTAGACAGTACTTCTCATGACAAGAACACACGGTCAGGTCTCATGGACATTGGGGATATTACTGCTGATCTACATGGAAAGTGGTGTGTAGTTACTTATGATGGGTTGCCGTACCCAGGAATTATCCAGGATACAGGCGAAAATGAAATCGAAGTCATGGTTATGCACAGAGTGGGAGACAACCGTTTCTTCTGGCCATCTTTGATGGATGATATCCTCTGGTACAGACGTGATGATATAATAACCCTCATCTCACCACCAGAACCAGTAACCAAGCGTCATCACCAGATTGACAAACTTATTTGGAAAGCTATCACTGAGAAACTGGATCTCTAAGGATCCTTACACATCCACAAAACTTTAATCAGTGACATTTCTTGTTAGCTATTAATGAGTTACTGTTTAACCTATCCGTGAGAGACAGTGTTGAATTGTTTCAAGTCTGTAGTCGGTACATATCAACTTCCTTCAGGCTTTATTTTGAGAGTTTGCGTGTTTGGACGGTATATATTTGAAGTTGGTTTGACTTTAACTGTTCAATTCATAGTTGCATTTTTCACACATTGTGTTTATCTGTTAGAATAAATGTTATAGGTTTCAGGGTTCATAGTACCTGGTAAATATGGTTTGAACGATGTTTAGGGAGACAGCCATCAACCTTTGATTAAATGATTAAGATTGATGACTGACGTTTCTTTATAGTTTGTTCAGAAACATGAAAGTGTAATAATAACGCTAAAATGATAAAGATGTCATAACAAATTGTCATTACCATAACAGTCTGTCATTACCATAACAGTCCGTCATTACCGTAACATGCCAGGATATTGTTAAAAAAATATGATAGATTATCAGGTTATTGAAAAGACCTTAAATGTACTAAAAGAAAGGTAACAGTTTTATTAGTTAACAGAATTAACTTTCAAATACACTTTGTTTTAATGATTGTGCTATTAACTTCATAATTACTGAAAGTCACATTTTATGGACAAAGTCAATGTCACAAATGAATTTCATAGACTTGGACCTATAGAAGAAAATGGTAATGTATTCTTTTGTTGACACACTTTTGTCATTGAAGACCTATGACCTTAATAAGAAGGATTTGGTTTAACTGAAGTATTTTTGTTGTTAATGGACAAAAGGGTTGTGTGACGGTAATGACACATTATAAAGGGGACAAAAACATACATTTTTGAATTGAAGATACAGAGTATAAAAATGCGTCAAGAATACGACCACTACTTGTTCTGATAATATTAAACACTTACAAATGATAATATTGCCAAAAAGATTCCACAACTGAATGTTTAATTTTCAACATTGCTAAAAGTTGTTTGGGCCTCTATTTGTGGAATGACCCACGGTGTTTAAAAAAAAAATCAGTTTTTCTTTCAGGCTGGTCTTGAGGTGATAAGGTGACGAGGAGAGCCTAGACGACAGTATGGGTACATTGTCACGAACGACTGGTCAGGCTAACCTTGTTGTTGACGAGACATCTTGTGGCCCAATGTGTCAGCACCCTGCATGCTGGCAATCAAACCAGAGACAAGAAAAGGGATTTCCAAAAAGAAGGGAAGACCAACCATCTACACCTGGAAAAGATCTTGGTAGGATGATATGGAGTTTTATATGTGTAGGATACTGATCCATTGAAGTATTCAGGAAATTGTATGATGTCATTTCAGTAATGAGATTATTTTGATTATGAGTTTGGATTCAGATAAATTGCACTTCCTTGATCCATGCTATGTTGTGTACACTCATCTATACTTGTCTTTTCTCAATCTTTACAGAGTTGCCTACACAGACAGTCTACAACATTCTTGAGGATTTTGGAGATGACCCCCGTGATCGTTTCCCAGCGAAATATAGTGGCCAACAAGCACATGAGAGGGTGACATCTTCCCTGCCATCTCTGCCAAAATCCATCTCACAAACATGGTAAAAATAAGATACCTTTGTTCAGATTTTATGAGTCATCAGCAGGGTACGAGAGATTTATCGTCCCAAGTCAGAAATGGATGGGCAGTTTGGTTTCTTTGTGGCGGGGTGTAAAGAATCTATTCTCTTGTGTAAGAAACGTATTTCTCTCCAAGGTGAAATACAGTCATCCCTCGCCATAATGCGGGTCTTGGGGTCAATGGATTAGTGGTGGTCCGATTAATTGAAATAATCGAAGATTGGTCGCAATGACTAAACGACCAAGCAATCTATTATGTTTTTTCATAATCGAACACAACTTGACAAACAATTTTGGAAGTTATGGAACACTTGGTTGCATTAACAATATTTTCTCACAAGGTTGGTTTTGTCTGTTACATTTCATAAGCACTACAAGCTCGTTCCAAGGCATGATTGAATTTGTCTTATGGACTCCAAGAAATTTATGTTCCTAACATACTAGTCATACTTTAAGTATGTGAAATTGCAAGTGCATTTTGTGCAATTTGAAAAAACCGAAAGAACTACATGTTTTTATCTTTATTTTTTCAGCATTAACAAACATAAAATTTGATGAATGTCGCTAACCAATTATTTTTGATGATTGATCGGTTGTAATGATACCATGGAGATTTAAACCAATATTTTCAACACCACAATGGATGACCCCTACACCGGTGTTATGTATAACACAGGATAAAGGCCAAGTTTAAGTGTATTTTCCTTGTATGTAGTACTTTATCAACATGATGAGCTCCAGTCAGATCTGAACATTTTGTCATGGAGGAAAGATGACTAGGTTTGTCAGCACATGCCCATTCTTGTTTAAATATACAAAGAGTGAAATACTTGCATCTTTTGAAGTTTCTTTTGTCCCTAAAGCATATATTGACATTTCATTATCTTACTGAAATTCAGTTCAAAGTCACTGTCCTTCTAAGGCTGGATTTATGCCTATTCAGCAACTACCCTGAGGCTTGGTCAGACTCACAAACTCCCATATATGTTTTAGGGAATACGCTGGAATATGCATGGAAGACGGATTGGTGACTATTTGATAGCCACATTCTGCTTCTGTTTCTGCATTTGCCCATCACTAATATATGAGAGGTGCTATGACCTATGGGACTATATCGGCGGAATATCAAACTGCATTCTTAGTGGTTAAGGCATTTGCTCATCATGCCAAAGAACCAAGTTCGATTCCCCACATGGGTACAGTGTGTGAAGCCCATTTCTGGTGTCTCCAGTCATGATATTGGTGGAATATTGCTAAAAGCGACGTAAAACCATACGTACTCATTTACTGACATTCTGTGCCAGTTGGTTGATGTAATACTTGAGCTGGGCAATGTTAGATGTAAACTGAGGCCAGTGAACTAATCTGTTCTCATCGACTGGGAAAGTCATGGATTATGCCAGTCACGGTCATTCATCAAGGTCATCAGGTCAAGGTGTCTGTGTTCACCTGTGTATTGTTTCAGCTTGAAGACATGTGACCCAACCCCAGCCATCACCAGCAACAGCCGTGAGTGTCTGGAGTCAAAGAAGAAGTCCAGGTTACGGGTGGTGGAGGTGCAAGAGGTGTTTGACGTCGACGACCTCAACAACAAGTGGGATGAGACCTTCCTCACCCGTCAGTATTACGTGTGGGTCCCGAACCCGAAAAAAGCTGGACACAAGCAGAAGACGCTTGACCCACTGGACAAGTATGTACAGAAAGTAAAATTATGCAATGCCCCAATGTTGTTGTTTATTAACTTCATCTTGAGTTGATGGGCACATCTGAAATACCAGGATTTGCTGCAAGATGCATTCCTGAAACAGAAGTGTACACACGAAAATGACTTATATGAATGGTAGAATTCAATAGTTACTTTCAAAATTTCTCAAAATGCACTCATTTTCTCTCATCCAAAATTATAAGAAAGTGTCAAAATGTTTCTCCATTATGTGACCTTCGTCTTTTGAAATAAACAAGCCAGAGTTAGATGTGGACAAAATTTGCGCTAATTTAACTGACCCTCTCTTGTGTCAGCTGAAAAGATATCCTATATCCAGGTAAGAACTGATTGTCATCAACCCTGCCACAATGCTTGAATCTGTAGTCTGACTCACTGACTGGGTTGATGTAGATCAGTCCCATGATTTGAATCACTGGATTGTATGGTCTTGATTCAAGTATTAGTGGACCACTGTCATTTAGCAGGAACATCACTGAAGACAGTGTTAAACAACAAACAAACCAACTATAAAAAAAAATAATGCTTACAATTATTGGTAACTGCCAGTTGTCTAAGGTCTGTGTTTGCCGCGATTAGGACCCCATCGCGGGGGATCGACTTATGCACGAAACATACCATTTTGACACTGATTTTAAGGGTCAAATTTGGGGGTCGTCTTATAGACGGTAATATACGGTAAAAATTAATGGGCAGGGTGTAATTGATTTTGTACATGATATGCAGGGGGGTGGGGTAACTTATTTTGTACATAAATTTTAGGGGGAGGACATTGACATTGTACATGCTTTTCCATAAAAATTATCATCATCCCCCTAGCCATAAATTATGAATGGTTCCTTATCCCACCCGGGTACCAATTTTCTGATGGATGAACAGAGGCAAGTTTGAACAAACTCACTTGCCTAATGTGAGATCACATGTATCACATCTGTTTCGTTGTGAATTTACCTTCACTTGCTTGTGTCCCACATGGAAGCCGCGTTAGAATCAGTCATGAATTTTGGCAACCATATGCTGGTTGTAAGAGGCTTGAAGCTGATAACTTGGTTCACGGCTTGTTATCACACCCCATTTGTAGGGATTGCTACTCACCATATCAATCACAGGATTGTCTGATCTTGATAAGTTACAGAAATATAGCTGGAAGACTGGTGTTGGAGAGTGTGACATTTAACACACGTACACACATGCACACACACAGAGGCAGGGAGGAATGTTATGATTACGGATGTATTTCATACAGGTATCACAGATGAGTTTTGAACTTCAAATTTGCAGTGTTTAACGATTATTTCATTGTAGTAACAGTTACAGCATCCATAATGTTTTGGTCAGATTCAAGTTTCAAGTGTATTCTTTCTTCAACCTGATAGTTAAGACATGATGACATCTGCTCAAATGCTACTCCAATCTGTCTGACGCCATATTTCATTCTGGTGATGTGAACTCCATGTGTCCATCATTTCAGTATGTCGATCAGTAAACTGTCAGGTCAACCACAACCCATCCCATCTAAAGATGTCACTGAACAGTTAATCCCTGAGCAGATGGAGAGACAGAGAGAGGAGGCCCGAGTGGTGAGTGAGGGAAAGGGAGAGAAGTGTTCTCTGTTGTTATATGCACTTTGAGTAAACTGGACAAGATTCCAATATCAGGATAGTTTTTCAATAAATATGCTGACATTTTAATGAATAGAAAAAAAATTAAGAGCTTTTTTCCCAGAGCTTGATTGTGTTCTTATTGTGTCTACTGATGTTTATTTGCACTTCAAGTGGATTAATTAGGAATAGTTTAACATACCATATGCCTCATCTTTAACTGAGTGTGAGACCTTTACTTAGTACTCTTCTTGTTCGGTGACTCCTTGTCTTGGTATTAGTAAGTTCAATCTACTTCATGTAGTTCTGTAGAAGTACACTTAACCTGATAATGTTTCTGATTTGTCATCATCGCGCCAGTGCTCATAGGTTACACCGAAGTCGTAATTGTCTGAGATCTGAACTTCAGACTCTTTTCACACATACTTATATGTCATGATATATCTGGAATACTGTTGAAAGCAGCATTAAAACCAATTCACTCACTTTCAAAATGTTTTAAGAATGGTTTACATTCTTAAAGTCAGGCTCAAGTTTTATAAGGATATGTCTATCTTAAAATTTACAAAGGAAACCAATTGACAGTGATAGGATTTATCAAAATTATTTGGTATTAATGTTATTTCAAGAATTGCAGGAAATTATTTACATAAATGTACAGTTTTTACGTAATATCAGTACAGCTATACTTTGAAATTTTACTGACAAAATATCATTTTATTCATGTGATGTAATTTAGAAAGTGATGGTTAATAACCTGAGCTAAATTGTTATTTTAAATTTTAGTTTTAATTTTTAATCTGAATATGTGTGAAAAATTCTGCAATATGCAATATGATATAAGTTTGGCATTTCAGGCGATTAATACTATTTTTAGTTGGTTTGCGTAATTTTGCTTTGTTCATACAATGTGGATGGTCAGATACTTAAATTGTCATGAGGCACATAAAGTTTACTGGATATGTCATATGGAATGGTCACTTTAAATAATCCACATTGATTTCAGCTTAATCATTTGACAGTAAATCCTCTTTTCAACACAGACCTAGTTGAGTTATGTTTTAGTTTTATATTATTTATCAGTAAAGGTATTCAATTTGTTTTCATTTTGCTGGTTTTCACATGGTCAATAAACCAACACAAAAAAAAACATTGGTTGTCGGAGGTGTGGTATGTGTAGTTAGAGTACATACAATCGTGATATCTGATTATGTTTGACAATAGACTGTGTATTGTTCTAATTTTTACCTTCCAGTTTGATGATTTCCCTGTTCTGAAGGTAGAGGGCACTTCGGTGGTCCACTGAAGCTCTAAGCTGCTTTATGTCCACAGTTCTCCTTGCTCTGTAGCTTCATCTATAATGATTCCGTAACTGTCCTAAACTTACTAACATCCTCTCACAGAGTCATGCATTGCTTCCGCAAATATTCTAGTTTCAGATGGCACACTTTCATAGTGGAGACATTTCAGAATGAACACCCTGTGATATATCACTTTCATTTCTCTTTCCTTGATACAGTACATCACGGAGATCCCGGGGAGTGCACCTGTACCCATAATTGTAATTACAGTCAACAGCATGTTGGTATACTATACTATTCACACTTTGCTAAGAATCAAATCATGGATTCAACAGAAAGTTATGATGTGGGGTCAAATTTGGTTTAAATATTTAAGCTTATTGTAAGCATGGATCCTAGGTTTCAGTATGTCATTTCATCTTGTGGAACCCATACCTGCTATTGACAGGTGTTGTGTACTTGTCAATGACTCGTTCCATGATTTGCAAAATGGCTGATTGGTACCATGACAACCATTTTTATGGTTACTCATGTCTCAAGTGCATAAGGTTAGATTAAAGTGACTGTTTGCCAAAAGAAGGGTTACCATATTATTATTTTTAAACTTATCCTATCTCACGGTATGCACCTCTCTTGTTCTTGTACGACCATGTGTGGAAACGTACTGTAGGCTAAGTTGAATCAAACTTTCTGGCCTCTGACCCCTGACCTCTGCCCCCACTCCATGGCAGCACCTGTCAATCATCTCCATAAGCGTGCATATACAATTTATGTTAAATTTTCCAAATTTATTCAGTTTTAAATGGATACAATTTCAAATCATAAATCTATGTTTAAGTAAAGTTGTGAATATTTGTGATCCTCAGCAAAGTGTGAGTAGTATAGTTCAGGAGGGGTCCCTAGGGCGTTGAGGGATGGTGGGGGGGCAGTTTTTTTCACTTTGTGATTGAATGTCAATCGTCGATTGCCTACAAATGTGGATTGTTGTTGACACATGTCATTGTATCCCAACGACATAGATCAATACTCATGGTGTTGATCACTGGATTGTCTGGTCCTTATTTACAGACTGCCACCATACAGCAGGAATATTGCTGAGTGCAGCATTAAGCAACAGCCAAACAAACAATCGGTGGATTGTACTTTCCACATTTAGGTGGGATATTGGTGGGATATGCTATCTTATCCTACCGGGTACCCAGTCACAACTTGGTAAGCAGAGGCTAAGTCACTCACAGGGGTGGAAATAACTTTAAAATTGCTAGTATACTCTGGTACAGTGGCACATGTAAAATCACTTGCCCTGTTATTTTTTCCACTATACCGGCCGATTTTCTTGTTGATCTGTTAAATAAACAACATAAGTAACATTGGAAAGTCAACTGGACACCGGTACAACGTGATATACAAATTAGATTGCCCGACAGAAAACAACACTGGACTCGGACGTCGGGCAATGGGTTATTTCCACCCCTGACTCACTACTTGTGCTGCAGAGTAGGATATGATGGAAGTCCTAGAAACTCTCAGAAGTCAAGTTCTTGAACACGGTCTTTTCCCTCTCCCCTACCCCCTCCATCATTGCTTGATTGTGTTGTACAGTACATTATATGTCACCACAATTGCCCAGTTTATGTAGCATGATGCTAACAACAGCAAATCAGACAAAATACTCTGGATAGTGAGGATGCTTCCAAGAAAAGTGTTTATAGGAAATAAAAAGATTTCTATGATTCATATCCAGTTTAACGATATTTTGCAACATATCAGAGTGTAACATACACTCTTCATATGGACTCCTGCTGTGCTGGGAAATGTCCTGTTTGACCGAGTCAAGCTGTTAGTGTCCAGTGTTGGGAATGTGATGAATCATCCTTATATTGGATGTTAGTGATTGTTGAAGTGGAAAATCAATACGATATATACACAATTGCTGAATATATAATTGGACCAAACTCATATGCCTATACAGCTGTCATAAAGCATGATCTAATGTCTGAGGACTTCTTCTTCATCATCATCATCATCATCATCATCATCATCATCATCATCATCATCATCATCATCATCATCATCATCAACACCATCATCATCATCATCATCATCATCATCATCGCCACCACCACCACCACCACCATCATCATCATCATCATCATCATCATCAACACCATCATCATCATCATCATCATCATCATCATCATCATCATCATCATCATCATCACCACCACCACCACCACCACCACCACCACCATCATCATCATCATCATCATCATCATCATCATCATCATCATCATAGGGGCGGTGGGGTAGCCCAGTGGTGAAAGCGTTCGCTCGTCACGCTGAAGGCCTGGGTTCGAATCCCCACATGGGCACAATGTGTGAAGCCCAGTTCTGGTGTCCTCCGCCATGATATTGCTGGAAGATAGCTAAAAGCGGCGTAAAACCATACTCAGTCAGTCAGTCATCATCATCATCATCATCAGTGCTGCTATACTAGATCCCTTTCATTCTTAAACATTAGGTTGAAGTTGCAACACATGCTGCAGGATATACGACTGGTGATTCTGTAGAGTTTTATATACCAATGACCTCAGTCCCCAACAACCAATGCAGCATCTCTCTGGATGTTTGTTCTAGGGATCCTGTGTTTGTTTCAGATTGGGACTTCAGAGTACGTCCAAATATTTGTTCAGTTGGTTCTTTTTCGTTGAAGGTGTCCCAATTTTAGTATCCTGTATTTGTTTTTCCATGTGACTTTGGGGCAGAATAAGTCCTCATTTATGGTATTATTATTTGCTTAGCTGGTATATTTTGGTTGAATATGTCTCATCTTTAGTAGCCTGTATTTGTTTTTCCATGTCATGTTGTGGGCAGAATGTTGCTCCATGTGCCCTATGTTTGTTTCTCTGTGGAAAGTTTGGCCAGTACAGGTGGTTCCACGTTTCCTATGTTTGATTTTCCTAATTAAATTATTAAGTATCCAATGTTTGTTTCCATGAGGAATTTTGTTAAGATGAATAGGTCCCAAGGATTCCCAGTTTGTTTCTCTGTGGGAAGTTATTGGTAGATTATGTCCAGATATGCTATGTTTGTTTCTCCATGAGATGTTTGGGGTAGATAGGTCCCAAATATCCTCTGTTTGTTTCTCCATGAGATGTTTGGGGTAGATAGGTCCCAAATATGCTATGTTTGCTTCTCCATGAAACATTTGGGGTAGAATAAATCCCAATATGCTATGTTTGTTTCTCCATGAAAAGTTTGGGGTAGAATAGGTCCCAAATATGCTATGTTTGTTTCTCCATGAGAAGATTGGGGTAGATAGGTCCCAAACATGCTAGGTTTGTTTCTCCATGAGAAGATTGGGGTAGAATAGGTCCCAAATATGCTATGTTTGCTTCTCCATGAGAAGTTTGGGGTAGAATAGTTCTAAAATATGCTATGTTTGTTTCTCCATGAGATGTTTGGGGTAGAATAAATCCCAATATGCTATGTTTGTTTCTCCATGAGATGTTTGGGGTAGAATAAATCCCAATATGCTATGTTTTTTTCTCCATGAGAAGTTTGGGGTAAAATAGGTCTAAAATATGCTATATTTGTTTCTCCATGACACTCTTTGGACAGAAAATATCCCAATAATACCTTGCTGGATCTCCTGTGGGGAGCTTTGGTAGAATATGCGCCTATAGTATCCAGTGTTTGTTACCATGTGGGAAGCATGGACACATGCTCATACTATCAATCACTAGTTTGTTAGTGGAGATGTTCAGTTAATGTATAATAAAGCACATTACCAATAGTACAAGCCCCAGCATATCCCACACTGTCATATCAATGCGTACATGCTTCCTTCTAACTTTTCTTAATATTCTGCAGCTTCATTACTTTTAACACATTTCATATCTTCCAACTAGATTAACCCCTTATTCTTGGATTTCTATACATATATATTACTATATATTATCATTGTATTGGTGCTATGTTTGTATTTTCATGTCTGTGCTGTGTTTGTGTGCTGTATTTTAGTATTTAAATGTTTAAACAAAAGTTTTCAAAAATCACAATAAGCAATATTTGAATATTCAACTGTGTATTTGAATATTCTCAGGTTAAAGTATTTGGATATTCTCATGAATATGTGAATGTGATAAATATTATTTGAACATTTACTGGAGAGTTATATTTGAATGTTGTCATGTTGAATATTTGGAAACCTGTGTAGGGAGTGACTGGTGCTGAATAGGACTTTGTCCCCATTCTTGTAAACATGAAATGAAGATTATGATCTAATCTGCTAATGGCAGTAATGTTTGTTCATGCTGTCAGTCACTGGTTTTCAGTCAGAGACTCTATGATTGATGGGTTGAAATGATGATGTAGCTGGTATATTACTGACAGCAATGTCGAACAGTCCATTCTCTCAGTGACTCCACCTGTAACAATTTTCTTAGCTCACCTGACTGAAAGTCGAGTGAGAATTTATGTTGTGGCAAGCTCCATCTATCTGTTCAATGTTAAGTTTTACATCATTAGTAGCTCCTCTAATCAACATTGCCTTTGAAACTGATGCATAAATATCCTTCTAAGGATGTTTCTAAACTCTGCTCACAGAATTCAAATATAATTTTACAGTCCCAAAACTGCACCACAACAGGCTGTTGTTGTTCCTATGGTATGCGTTATTATTGGTTTTAACACTAGATTTAAAAGAAGTATAAACTACACTGAGGTAATGTCCCTCAAAAACTGCTTGCCTCTGTTGAACATACAGTCAAATCCCGATGAGTCGAATGCCGGCGTCTCGAATATTATGCATAACTCGAAGTACCTGTCGGTCCCGACCATTCCCTGTTATAGTTGTCATCATTTGAATACCGGTTACACGAATTCGTCTCATAAATACACACGATGACTCGAAAAGGAAATTTGGTCCCATGAGATTCAAACAACAGCAATCTTGTATACATAAGCCGAAGTCAGTCAATGAGAAGTTGATTGGTGTAGCAAACTGATCCAATTAAAAAACCAGCGCGGCTCACACCTTTCCGTCATTGACGGGTGAGTTCAAAAGGCAGATTAGTGCTAATCAGACTGGAACTGATAAGGTGCCCCTATTAGTTATATGGAAATCATTAGATAAACAAATGCTTAGGCGGAAAAATTAGGACTGGATCATCTTTTTTCTACCCTCATAAGCATACTTATGTCTCGAATACATCGATAAGTCGAATTTATTACTTGGTCCCCAGCGATTCGACTCATCGGGATTTGACTGTACTCTTCATAATTTTACTCCAGTCAGTTGCCACAAAGACGTTCACGCGAAGCGATATCATGTCATTTTCTTCCATCCAGATTTTCAATATTCCATTTAAAACATTATCCAAAATGTTTGGTCTCTAGTCGAAAAGGATACAAACTAACAACATTTCACTGTTTATGGATTTCATCACACTAATGACTAAGAGTGCCCAGTTTAACCATGAAAGTTCCCTAAACCTATGTTCCAGTTTCAGTAAAAATTGCAGTTGAAGATAATAGGTTCCAGCAGAGACCATATAGATCTATTATATGGTCTCTGGTTCCAGATGTTAGGGATGGGTTTAAGCTAACATGAGTTGTCTCCCTTCATCAACTGACTGAATAGGGCAGTAAAATCCTCTACAAGATATGTTTTGAATTTCATTCACAAAATCTTTGCCACATCTCTAACAGCGAAGTAGCGTTAGTCGTTTTACATCAAACTTAAAGCAAAGCAAGATAATTTTGGAATATTTGTATATTTTAATCTTCTAAAATTTTAACAAGTTTTACAAAACATTTATAAGATCCTATCAATTTTACTTTTGTAATTGTTCTGTTAAGTCTTGTCATCACTGTTGACTGCTATGTTATGTTTTGACTTTTTAGATAAGTAACCTGAATAAACAATCATTGATATCTGCCTCAGAAATAATTTATGGAAACTGATGTTTGTATTTGCAGAAAAAGTATGCAAGTGCTCACTCGGGAACTAGTCGTGGGACTGGCTTCAGCCGTGGTGGTACCGGTAATCAGAGATCCGCCAGACCATATGTTGATGCTGACAGGTGTGTGTGTATAGACTTTCTGACTACATGTACTGCTTATTTGTTGTTGGTTAGCATTTTGTTTGAGGCTTTAAAGGTCACATGCAACCAAAAAATCAAACATAATTAAAACACAATTATCACTTATTCATGACATATAATATACATTGTTGGTTATGAAAAAACATATAAACAAAATTATAAGCGTACAATCGCAAATCAAAAGTGCAATATTGTGTACTTCGGTTTACTTCCCAAGAAACGAAGCAGCCGGGATACCGAACCCAGTCAGAGCGAGTGGGTGTGTACTCAAGTGTAACCGCTGGTTCATTTGCAGATGTCCTCACAGCTATTGTGTGTGTATATATAGAGATGTTGGGTTTTGTAAATACATGCTCATTTTTTGTGTATAACATTTTGCAATCAACAGACATCATAACATGTCATGTGTTCAAGTATCACACCTACCTGTCTGTGTAATTACATAATGTGACAGAGACCGAACTCGGGCCATAAATCAATGCATTTTGTTTATGGTGTATAGCCTGATTGGTGTTAGTTCAAATTGCATGTGGTCAGTGATAGCAGCTGTGTATTGAATATTGTCATTAGCAGACAGGCAGGCAGACACACAGGTGTCAATAAAACAAGACATTGAGTTTTGTCTGTGACAACGACATATCTATATCACAGTTAGAAATTCTGTCAACGCTAAATAATGACATTGCTTTTAAGTATCGAACTGAGAAAGTGACTTGGTAAGAAGAACGTGTTGTGAAATAGACAAATGAAATTATATAAACAGTTTATTTACTGTCATAACATATAAAAAGCTCGCGCCTGTGAGATATCAACAAAACATTAGAAAAATAGCTCACACCAAAGCCTTCACCGAGTATTCACCGGACAACCCGCTTCCGAGCTGGGCGAACCTATTTCACTGCTCACATGCTATGAGCGCAGCCCAGCTGTTGAAACCCGTTTTCCCAGAAAAGTCGGGGGAAAATTAGTGAAACGTTTGAACTCACGATTTTGCGCGTTTTTTTTCATCGCGTTATTTTTCAACTTTATAAGTTGAATTTGCATTTTTGACGATTTGTTTCGGTAAGTCCATACCGAAAGGTATCAGAATCTGCAAAGTTGTGTTTTACGTTGCATGTGACCTTTAAGGTTCTCTTTATATTTGATTTTTCTCATCATTTACTATACGGTATTATTATTATATAATTATTGATGTCAAAAAGTTATTCTTTCTGAGACATTCTTCTAAATGGTCATGTGTCATTGTTTTGGCACATGTGAAAAAAATAAACAAGATGGAAAACAACCCCTAGATTAGTAAGACATCACTGTCACTGTTCAGGGTTTTGTGAAGATATTATTGTATTAATGTTGGTTACTGAGCAATGGTACCTTGTACCCATGATTTGAAATATTTGCATGTAGCTTTACATTTCATAGCTCATCTCATGTTAAAGCTGTGTCTACATAAGGTCATGGTCAGCTTGGAGGGTATCCTGAAACATGGTTGTATCGCCAGTAGCCAGTTACAGCACGTTTACTAGTAGAAACCTGAGACTTGTTGGATCATAACAAATGGTCTTGGTGATGGTCACAGTCTGAAAGTAAAGCTGTTTTGATTTATATTTTACAAGTTTGAAGCAAATTAAACAGATGGAGATGAAGGGTCTATATTCATTTTTTTAAAGCACTTGCAAACCCCTCAGGCAGGAATTTTGACAGTATGTTGTCTGTTTTGGAATGATCACCTTGTACTGGAATCATATCACACATAGTGCATTCATATTAAATAGGCATTTTAAAATCATATTGTCCATGAGAAGTGCATTCGTGACCAACTTGTGTTTAAATGATTCCCGGGACAAGCCAAATAGCGACTCGTGCCCCTATGGAAGGATTTCATATTGGCGTAGGAACATCAGAACTACTTTAAACACGATAACTTTATCCCTGTTTGATTCTACTGGTACTTGACCATTTCTGTGTAGTGGTTAGAGCGTCCTCCTGGAGAGCGGAAAGTCGCGGGTTTGATCCCTGACCGCGTCATACCACAAGACGTTAAAAATATGGTACTTGTTGGTCCCTGCCTGGCGCTTGGCATTAATGGATACAACAAGGACTGGTCGGCTCGGAGTCAGTATAATGTGTCTGAGTGGGGTATTCATGCTTCACTGCGGCATGGTATCTCAGTGGGCTAGCACTATAAAACCAGCTTCAGTCTGGGCTAGTACAAGCAGCCGCACATACACATAGACATGCATGCACGTCGTCATATGAGCGAAATATTCTCAAGCACGACGTTAAACCCAATTTCACCTCACCCTCCACTGGTACTTAATATCACCGAAGCACTCGTACATTGTATTGCTGTTTTTTGTTTTTGCTTATTTATTCTGAAGTACTAAACCTCTTTGATACAACTAAAAGAAGGATAAAAACATATTTTTAAAGACATATTCTGACGTAACTATTACCAGCTTTTCACCTTATATTTCCAATTATATATTTCTAAATAGGGTGTGATAATCACAAATGAGATTTGTTTTATTGAATGTGCAAATAAAATATAAAAAGATTCAGGTACATTAAATCCCAAAGCAGATACTCAAAAACGCCTTTAAAATATTTCTCAGACTGAACATTCATGTAACCTTGCTGTCATATCCATGGTGGAATTTTAAATGAATTCGCTGAATAAAAAAATGAATGACCAAACACAAGTCAGACTAAAATATGTGTCCGATGTGAAAAAATATATGCCCAATGTTAATGATTAAAGTTCATTAGTTACAGATATAATATGATTGTTTTGAATCTCATAGCGATTTACATTTCCTAAAATTGATGGAAGCGCACGTACAATCTCCAAAACAAGCCCGCAAGATCATCAGAAATACACTCAATTGGACCCTTGAGAGTCGTTGTGTCAACAAACGCACGTGCATGTATTTGAATCTCTCACCGTCATGTGCATTATCCTTACTAAAATCTACATGACGCAACACAGTTCTGTTAGCTACATTCTTTGTACTTTTAATATGACAATACATATTTTCCATGATTTTGTAAACAAACACATAATGCCATAATTGATTTAAGTACTGGGAATTATTTTTATCAAAGCATCGCACTCATTACGTGCGTTCTGATTGGTTTGTCGTATTTTCGCATATAACAAGCATAGAGATGGGGACGAGTCTTCTTGGAGGTTATGGAAAGGGGCAAGTGATGACGAATGTGAGAAGTTGTGAAGTTAAAAAGATTGGGGAAACAATCCAGATGGAAGCAAGGCAATCATGGACAATCTCACTTGTGACATTTATGTGTCAAAAGTTCCTAGATATTTATTCACTGTCATAAACATGTTATTTACTTTTTTTAGATGTCTTCGCACCAGTAAGGGTGACTGCTTAATGTGAACTGTAGGAACATATAATGCTTTCTTCTCAAAAGGTGGAAGATTTCTTATGGACACTGACCCACATTTTATTCCCCATCTCTACGTGTAGGTTATTTCCAAGTGATACAGTAGTTATCCCAGACATACAGTAAGGAATGTTATCAATGTAATATATTATCAAGAATGGGTCACATTATTTCATCAGTATGCAAAATTACAAATGTGTGAAATGATCTGAGCCCTATTGTTCTTGCAACTGTTTCTTTTCATTCTGATAAAGCTCTAACAGCAGGATCAGTTGCTCAGGCTGACAGATGTCGTATCCCGATGCTTATGATGTTGATCACTGGATTGTCAGCTATTTACAGACAGTCACTATATAGCTGGAATGTCGTTGGGTGTGGCGTTAAGTACCAAACAAAACAAATCCGTCCAACAAGTTCTCTGTTTTTTGACACAGCCAGTGTTTCCACTTGCATTTTTTACAGCTGGACATTGTGACCGGCTAGCATTTCAAATACCGGTCATTTGTAAATTTTACAGGTCAAGTGATCATGCTTTTCATCGTGTGCAACACCTTGCACCCTAGTAACCAATCAAAAATGTAGAGGGTATTGCAATGCATCAATGCCACTATCTTTAGCCTGGGGTTTTCCAAACTGCTATTTTTTTATTTGACAACACCTTGATGACATTGTGAAAACGTAATCTTTTTCGAGGAGAAATAAAATTGACAGAGGTAATTAGAAAATTTACAATTTGCCGAACACGATGGCCGACAGCCTTTGAAATTACTGGACATTCTAACTTTGTACCAGTCAAAGTCCGGTATATACCACATAACAGACACACTGACAGCCAAGTACTTGGGTTTTTCACTGATAGCAGAGATGTATGAAGCGAACCTTGAGTTGTATTTCACATGATGGACAATATTGACATACACCTGCTGGCCTGTTCTCCACCAAGGAGATAAATATAGTATTTTTAAACTTATCCTATATCACGTTTTGCACCTCTCTTCTTTTTCCACGACCATGTGTGGAAACGTGCTGTAGGCTAAGTTGAATCAAAACTTCCTGGCCTTCATAGAAGAAGAAGAGAGGTGCATACCGTGAGATAGGATAAGTATATAAATATACAATTAGTGTAAAATTTTCAAGTTTTTTCTTTTGAGGTGTTTAAACATAGACTCAGTACGTGTAAACATCATTTGGAACAGAATGTTTTAATGATTTGTTAAATCCACCAAATATTTTCAATACCTCTCACTTTCTGCACCGGTTGTACAGAGTGTAGTGGCTTGAGTGCTTTATCACAAATGACCAATGCCCATTGGGTCTGACCATTTAATTGTGTTCCAGTTGTCAGGATTCCATTTGATGCAAGGGGGTGGCGAGGTAGCCTAGGTTAAGTGTTTGCTCGGCACGCTGAGGACCTGGGTTCGATTCCCCACATGCCTATTTCTGGTGTCACCCGCTATGATATTGCTGGAATATTTCTAAAAGTGGCGTAAAACTAAACTCACTCACTCATTTCATGCAAGAGATAAAATCACCACACTAATTTAGAGAAAAGAGGAATATAACCTTACAAAGGGAGACTACTTTTGTCTCCCTCTAATAAGCAACCAGTACCATCAGGCCTATATAATTACAGTGCTTCTGTTTGATTCTCTAACCCAGGATGATTCTGTGTTGATCAAGGTATAGCCTAAGTTAACCTAGGTTCACAGTGTAGTCTTACTAACAGATTTATAACATGGGTAACTGAAGACCAGTTCTAACCTGGATCTACCCATGAAGATCCTGGTTAGAACTGGCCTTCAGTAACCCATGCTTATCGTAAGAGGCGAACCCATAAAGATCCAAGTTAGAACTGGTCTTCAGTAACCCATGCTTGTCGCAAGAGGCGACTAACAGGATCTGGTGTTCAGGTTTGCTGACTTGGTTGACACAAGTCATCGTATCTTAATTGCATGGAACGATGCTCTTGATGTTGATCACTGGATTTCTGGTCCAGACAGGATTATTTGCAGACCGCTGCCATATAGCTGGAATATTGCTGAGTGCGACGTAAAACCAACCAACCTATAACATACTTCAGTTAACCCAAGCTGACTTCCACAGAATCCCATATTCTGGTTAGCAGTCCCCAAGTGGCATCATCATTTAGGCAAATTAGTTATATTTCGTGATTCATTTGGAAGCATTAGTCACTTCAACAAGCATTTCAATCAATACAATTAACTTAATATTGTTAATATTATATGGTTTTTAGTTGTTGTTGTTAAATTTGGGTCACTAAGTCAGCGGGCCTGATCCCCTGATCCCAGTTTTCCTTTTGGTTATTGCATAGTATTATATATATTCTGATATGCATCAGAGAATTTAAATTTCAGTTTTGGTTTGTATACTTTTCACACGGAAAATCAAAACAAAATGATGATAGTTTGTTAAGTAACTTAGATTTTGGAGGCAGACGTTATGACTCTTTTTTCTGATGTTTTCATTACATTGTGCGATGAAATGAATGTTTGATCATGAACCAATTTGGAGCTAGATTGTGATTTATCGGTATCTTTTCTACCCAAACAGACTGTAGTCACTACAGTTACTCACTTGGACCTCTTGGTTTCCATAGTAACTGACCCTTTAGTTGCTATAGTTACTGAACCCTTTAGTTAATTTCTTTTGTTACTGACAACATGTCTGAGTTCCCCATAGTGTTACCAAGTCTTACATTACTTTGTACTTTGGTTCCTCAACTGTTACTTACCACTTTCTTTCACTGATGCTGTCACTCTTGCAGCCTGCAAGAACTTCTGGAACTACCGAGGGAGATTCTCATGAGCGTTCTTGAACATGCCAAGGAAAGGTCAGTTCTTACTTTTAATATTTCTTTTGTGCTGCAAACAAACCTTCAAATGATAAAAATGTTTATGTTGTATTTAATTTGTCTTTTACTTTTTCTCATGTATAAAGTACAGCCAGATTTGGGGGATGTATGAGGAGGTGGGATTTTAGGGATGAGATGAGACAGAGTGATACCAAGGCAAAGTTCTGCTGCCCAGTTTATGAACTGAACAAGAAATTCTACCAGCTGCAGGATCAAATCTTTGCCGTATAAAGATGAAACACAAGAACACGTTTTCGCTATAAAAATGTTTCAGTATAAATGTTTTTGCCCAGAAATCCAGATGTGTAAGCTATCTTTTGAAAAAGTCACTTGTCTTTGGTTCTTGTAATGTACTGACTTTGTCATTTGTTTGTTTGTTTGATTGATAACCAGGGCCTAGATTTTCGAAGTTCTCTGAGTGCTAAGATTGTCGTAAGTTATGTTAATGTATGGCACTTGCGACTATCTGAGCGCTAAGAGAGCTTAAAAAATCTAGGCCCAGGATCTGGCATGGACCCTTTATTTTTGTTTATTTGTTTGTTTGTTTAATAACCACGATCTGGCATGGACCCTGCTTAGGATGTTGGTTTGGTTTTGTTTGTTTGGGATAACTTCATTGCAACAGCAGGGCTCCAGATAAGGGGCGTATGTATGTATAAAAAATATGCACGATACGGTAGGAAATAATTTAGAAAACGTAGCACATACGCACGAAAAAAATGCTGTACGGTCTTGGAATCATTTACAGACGTATATTTATCTGAAAGAGTGTTGTTTTATTGTTTCTTGACCTGTTTACACAAGAGTAGCAATGTTGTGGTGTATATATGAAACGAAACACAGGATTACTGATACGCCATTAAATTCCATTCAGTACTCAAAATGTACTCTTAAGTTTATCCAGTACTCCTATATTGAAAAAATAAGGAGTACGTACTCCTGATGTTGAAAAAATTATCTGGAGCCCTGCAGCAGGATACGATATTGATAGATGCAATCACCATTCTGCCAGAGGGATTTCACCTCTTGTTATCTGAACTACTACTGGTCTGCTTTCCCAGATAAACTAATCTAATTTACATTTAATTGTTTGTAGACATGGAAACTCATACTAACATAATCATATTCACCTATCGGCAGTGAAACAGTTCTATTTTTGTGGTAATTTTACACTCTACCACCACGCTCTACCACCATGTATAGTGTACTAAAGCACACTTTCGCCCTGAACTATTATAGTTAAAGTACGAGGACGCTTGCGTCCAAGTGCTTTAACGTTATAATAGTTCAGGGCGAAAGTGTGCTTTAGTACACTATACATGGTGGTAGAGCGAACTGTATTTCTTTTCTAAGATGCCAAATTTAATACTTTCTAAGGATAATTACAATTAATTTAAGGCAGAAAACAAACGACGGTGTCGGTGACCTAAATTAAGAATCCTCGCACAGGGCTAACTGGCGTGCTGTACTATTGATGTGTCTGCCCCCCTACATTAAGACGAACGTTACCAGAAAAAAACAAATGATAACAGTTTGATGACGGTTTATGTTCGGATTAAATATCTTCTCTTAATTATTTTAATTACATCTGTGATTAACGTAAACCATATGGGGCAATATGAACGTCGCATTTCTACTACCAACGTAAGTTTAGATCAGTTCATCCAGATGAAGCTGAGTAGTCAAGCGACATTCCACGATTGCATTGTGGGAATGTAAACATTGCGAACGTTACCATGTTGCTGAAAACTTGTGAGTCCAATTGAGACATTTTAACCGTCGTAAAACATAAATGTAATGTTTCCACCAGTGATGTTATCTGTGTGAAGCAACTGCAAACCAAGAAACGGGATGCAACGGAGTAGTTTACTGTAGGAGGCCGTACGAGGCGATGACAACTGACATGCATCGTGATGTCACTTACATTAATATTGTGACGTAATGTAAAATGGTTCGATTACGAGCGAGGGGGCAGACTAGAATGGCGCAGTGACGCCACTACATTGTGACATAATGCAAAAAGTGCACATTATCGTCTCATAAAGTATTGTCGGCGCCTTTGATCTTTCACCGAAGCATCTTAGAAACAGTAGTAACTACACAAATATTCTACTAAACAGTCAAACAACTATAGCAATTTAAGCATATATTAATTTTGTCTCCATTCTGTTAGGATACTTACCCATGAATTATTTGCTGCAAATAGTTTCATTTTGAGCATTATTCCGGTGACACAAAGTTAAAGATAGCCATCAAATTTCACCTTCACAAGCAAAATAAATTCTGTGCAGGATCATGATTGAGTGTGTTTGGCTTTATGCCACTTCTAGGGTGGTGGGGTAGCCTAGTGGTTAAAGTGTTCACTCATCACGCCGAAGACCCAGGTTCCATCCCCCACATGGGTACAATGTGTGAAGCCCATTTCTGGTGTCCCCCGCTGTGACATTGCTGAACTATTGCTAAAAGCGGCGTAAAACCAAACTCACTCACTCACTGAGACATTGTGCCATGTGTAGCAATATTCCAACAGGGGACTCCAGAAATGGGCTTCACATGTTGTACCCATGTTGAGTGAACGCTTTTGCTTCCAGTTTGCAGAACTCCGCGCATTGATAGGTGTTGCTGTTTTAGTGATAATATATGTCAACGCAGTGCTTCCAGTTAGCAGAACTCCGCGCATTGAAAGGTGTTGCTGTTTTAGTGATAATATATGCCAAAGCAGTGCTTCCAGTTTGCAGAACTCCGCACATTGATAGGTGTTGCTGTTTTAGTGATAATATATGTCAACGCAGTGCTTCCAGTTAGCAGAACTCCGCGCATTGAAAGGTGTTGCTGTTTTAGTGATAATATATGCCAAAGCAGTGCTTCCAGTTTGCAGAACTCCGCACATTGATAGGTGTTGCTGTTTTAGTGATAATATATGTCAACGCAGTGTTTCCAGTTTGCAGAACTCCGCACATTGATAGGTGTTGCTGTTGTAGTGATAATATATGTCAACGCAGTGTTTCCAGTTTGCAGAACTCCGCACATTGATAGGTGTTGCTGTTGTAGTGATAATATATGTCAACGCAGTGTTTCCAGTTTGCAGAACTCCCGCACATTGATAGGTGGTGTTGCTGTTGTAGTGATAATATATGTCAGCGCAGTGTTTCCAGTTTGCAGAACTCCAGCACATTGATAGGTGTTGCTGTTTTAGTGATAATATATGTCAACGCAGTGTTTCCAGTTTGCAGAACTCCGCACATTGATAGGTGTTGCTGTTTTAGTGATAATATATGTCAACGCAGTGTTTCCAGTTTGCAGAACTCCGCGCATTGATAGGTGTTGCTGTTGTAGTGATAATATATGTCAACGCAGTGCTTCCTGTTTGCAGAACTCTGCGCATTGATAGGTGTTGCTGATTTAGTGATAATATATGTCAACGCAGTGTTTCCAGTTTGCAGAACTCCGCACATTGATAGGTGTTGCTGTTGTAGTGATAATATATGTCAACGCAGTGCTTCCTGTTTGCAGAACTCCGCACATTGATAGGTGTTGCTGTTTTAGTGATAATATATGTCAACGCAGTGTTTCCAGTTTGCAGAACTCCGCGGATTGATAGGTGTTGCTGTTGTAGTGATAATATATGTCAACGCAGTGCTTCCTGTTTGCAGAACTCTGCGCATTGATAGGTGTTGCTGATTTAGTGATAATATATGTCAACGCAGTGTTTCCAGTTTGCAGAACTCCGCACATTGATAGGTGTTGCTGTTTGATAGTGATAATATATGTCAGCGCAACGCAGTGTTTCCAGTTTGCAGAACTCCGCGCATTGATAGGTGTTGCTGTTTTAGTGATAATATATGTCAGCGCAGTGTTTCCAGTTTGCAGAACTGTCGCGGATTGATAGGTGTTGCTGTTGTAGTGATAATATATGTCAACGCAGTGTTTCCAGTTTGCAGAACTCTGCGCATTGATAGGTGTTGCTGTTTTAGTGATAATATATGTCAACGCAGTGTTTCCAGTTTGCAGAACTCCGCGCATTGATAGGTGTTGCTGTTGTAGTGATAATATATGTCAACGCAGTGCTTCCTGTTTGCAGAACTCCGCACATTGATAGGTGTTGCTGTTGTAGTGATAATATATGTCAACGCAGTGCTTCCTGTTTGCAGAACTCCGCACATTGATAGGTGTTGCTGTTTTAGTGATAATATATGTCAACGCAGTGCTTCCAGTTTGCAGAACTCTGCGCATTGATAGGTGTTGCTGATTTAGTGATAATATATGTCAACGCAGTGCTTCCTGTTTGCAGAACTCTGCGCATTGATAGGTGTTGCTGATTTAGTGATAATATATGTCAACGCAGTGCTTCCAGTTTGCAGAACTCCGCACATTGATAGGTGTTGCTGTTTTAGTGATAATATATGTCAACGCAGTGTTTCCAGTTTGCAGAACTCCGCTCATTGATAGGTGTTGCTGTTTTAGTGATAATATATGTCAGCGCAGTGCTTCGAGCTTGTGATACAACAGTTCAATGTTCAAACAGTAATTGTAATAGTAATAGTAATAGTCCACTTATATGGCGCTCATATCCAGGCAAATTACCTGCTTACGGTGCTACGTACATTACTATCCCCTGTCATAGGACACTATCGTACTTTCCGATACTTGGGGAACATACAGCCATGCTGCCTGTTAGGCTCAATGAACTTAACACTCACATTGCCAGCACATCCTCACGGGTACCCATTTTACAGCTGGGTGAACTGAGACATTGTGGATCTAAGTATCTTGTCCAAGGATACTACGCAAATGTGCCCACCTCGTGACCCGAACCTAGGTGCCTCCACTGTGGATCGAACCCAGGCCATCACCTTGATAGGCAGACGCCTTACCACTGCACTGGAATCTTGATCTTTCTGGCTGTTTTGTTACTTTTTCACATCTGATAAATATATCATTAGAAAAATAAATGTAATTTGAAAACAATTTTAAAAAGT